GAGGTAATTAATATCAACATATGTGTAGGGTTAGCAGAGTAAGTCAGAAACTATGTAGGGTGACCAGAGGTCAACCAAAGTCACTATCAGTGAAGGGCAACAAGATGTAACCAGTCAATATATTTGTAAGGTAAGCGAATGTTAACTAAGACAATATGCGTAGGGTGACCAGATTTAATCAAAGAATATATATATCTGTTTAAATGTCGCAGAGCTAGCCAAAGTTCATAACTTTGTCACCTGACTAAAGTTAACTAAAATCAATATATGTGTAAGATGACCACAGATTACAAAAGTCATTTACTATGTAAGGTGACCAAATGTAGAGAAAGTCAATAAATGGGAAGGGGTGACCAGAGGGCACCAGTCCATAAATCCGTAGGGGACAAATGTAACCCAAATCTGTATATGTGTGAACTGCCTACAAGTTAACAAGTTTGATAATTGTGCGGGGGTAACTCAGGTCAATAACTTAGTAGGAAAAGAGGTTATAAAGTCATTTTATGTGAAGGGTGACCAGAGGCAACCTAAGTCAATATATGAGTAGGGTGACCAGAGATAACCGAAGTTAATATCTGTGTTAGGTGACCAAAGGTAACCAAAGTTAATATATGTGAAAGGTGACCAGAGGGCACCAGTCAATAAATCTCTATGGCGACCAGATGTAATCTTTAATCAAAATCTATATCTATGTAAACTGCCGACAGCAAACGAAAGACAATATCTGTCACGTGTATGGCGTTAGGAAGTAACCAGTTTCAATATATATGAAGGGTGACCAAAGGTAACCATTGTTTAATCTGGAAGATATGATTTTAGTATGCACACAATTACTGCACAGAGTTTGGTAATTTTAATTTTCCAACGAAAGAAAGAGGTAGGGCCAATATGCCGAGGATTTTTTTTCACAGAAGGGCCAATTTCAAAAAGTGCCGACAGAATAAAATTTACTATAAAAACAAAAAATAAAAATGTTTTTTGATCAATATCTCGATTTACATATAGTATGATATGTGTGATCAATAGTTAATTTAACCCTAAAAAATGATGAAAATCCAATATCCGGATTTTCGGCTGTTTTTATGTGGAAAAAACAGGCAATCCCCCAAGAAGGACATTTCAAACCAAAAAAAAAGTTATGCTTTTTATGACTGTTGTTAGTCATACTACTTTTTACTTCAAAAATGAAATTGGTTTAGTGTGTCCTTATTACATAAAAAACAACTTTTTAAAGAAAAAATTGTACCATCGATAAATTGTACCGATATACCTTCTAAATAAGAATCATAATGATCAGAATCACCGTAGCTCCACCATTAGAGCACAGAACTACTAATAAATGATGAATTTGAAGAAAGGGTTCGAACCTCGCTCAGAACTTTTGCATTTTTTGTGTTGTTATATTAAATTTTAAAGTTTCTATCATATTTTTTCGGATGTTTGCTTGACTCATAGAGTCATTCGGGTTCATTTTGACTATTCAGTTAGTTTACTAGTATATAATTTTACGTGTATCAAAGAAAAATAATGTATCGCTTATTGTGTGCAATCCTATGACTGTCCATACTCTTGAATTACTTTCTATTCATGTGTTTACATTATTACGTATATCCAAGGGACAACTGCCGTCAAATTGATGTAGGTGCCTGTACATAACCAATAACACGAGAATTAATTCTATAGAAATTAAGCCTACATGTTGCGGGTGTAATATATACATAACTTAAAATAAGGCCATTGTATACAAGTTTCATAACAACAAAAAACAATTCGTCGAAACCTTTTTTGAACATGGTATTATATGTAACAAATGCAGTCAACAACAATTTTGTCGCCAAATCACAAACTGTAAAGATACTAGTACTGAAATTTTTACCACCTTCTATACACGGGTACCTAACTCATCAGAAAAATAAAACAACATAACAGAACAAATCAATTACACTACAAATCGCGATTGTAGGTAAAACATCAAGAAGCTGTTGCATCTGTATCACAACGAAGGGCCGATTTGTTAAAATTACAGAAAAGGCAATAAAACATGAAGTAGTAACACAGGGTGATCTATGACCAACTGATGTAAGATGTTCTCCGGTTTTAATTTTATATACATGTACATGTATTTTCTTGTCTTATCTTATAGACGATAAAACCTTAAAAGACCAGGACAAATACAGATATACATATTCAGAATGAGAAAATCACGATTTGAATTAGTTCGATATTATTTGGCTCCTTGACAATTTACATGGTATGGCACCTCGCATAAAGGATGTTAATAATAAAATAAAATCAATATTAAAAAACAATAGTCTTGGCCTTGTTTTTGTAGGAATACCTGTTCAAGGTATGAAAATAAATAATGTGACGTATTTTCTTGTACTATAATTAGCATCTATAGGGCTATTTAAAACATTATTTACCTATCTTATCGAATGAAACAAATCTCCGGCAAATTGGCCCTCCCTCTTTATTTTTTTGGATTCCTAGCAGTTTTATGTTATGGTTTACGTCTACTTTGAAATTTAATTGTAATTTTATTTATTTCATATCGGTTCAGAATAAGATTCTCTTATTGGATAAAAAGGGGTAATATGACATTCATTATTTTTCAGTAATAAATTCCATCCTTCATTAACAGAACAAAACGGACCAGAAAACTGGTCGTTAACGAACTTTTACATGAGAATGACAGGTGGGCGTGGTTTCCGTCTGATAATGACCGTTGAGGCGTGGTTTCTCTGTAAATGACCGTTGGGGCGTGGTTTCTCTGTTAATGACCAATGGGGCGTGGTTTCTCTGTTTAGAGAGATTTATCCATTTTTAAAACATGTTCCTTTCTTTAATATTATATTTAATTTGTTGAATTGTTTATTATTTGTTTTTGTTAATAATAAATTAAGGAGAACTTGATTAAGTATTTATATACTGAAAAATTGCACTAAAATGAATGGGAGTATTCCTACAACTGGTCTTCACTCTCTGCCATACAAATCGTACGTCAACTACTCGAGTTCGCTTTAGGCATTTTGAATTAATGAAAATTTTCAAAACATAGTTCCTCAATGAAATAAACATAATAGTTCTTCAAAAAAAACTGGTCATTATCGTGATACATGGACTGCCCGTAGGACAGTAATATTGACTATGACAGCGATAATGACCTCGCCTTCGCGTCATTATCGCTACCTTAGTCAATACCACTCTCCTGTGAGCGGTCCAACTATTATATAAATATTAAATCCTGAATTAAAAGGATTAAGTCGATTAGAATGTGACCTTACTCTTAATACTGTTCAATGGCATTTTAATATAATTACACCAACTATATATAGCTAACAACATTACAAATGTCTACATTCATAAATACATATAAATATGTTACTGGTTGAGTTGACAAATAAAACTGTAAGATCAGCATAACATCAGAAGAAACCTTCTCAAGCTCAAGAGATAAATCATTGAAAAATATTATTAAAAGTAAATGTCATAATATGGAACCTTCTGGTACTCTTGATCAAACCTCTAAAGTAGGTAAATCCCTAACTTTGTATTGTGTAACTTTTGTCTTCCGTTTGTAAGGTGGCACTAGATCAATAGCATTTCCTTTCTTCTTGAAGATAAATATAGAATTGATTTAAAAACTTACCTTTACTTCTTTCTTTTATGACAGCTAACATTATCCTTAAAAAATATTAAAATACAGTTCATCCATTGCTTAAGTTATCTTAACATTATCAATATCATCAACTACATGTATAAGATTAGGCCGTGTTCACATTGACTTAAACTCGGTGTTGTGTTAGTGTAACTCACACATTAACTAAACATAATTGCGTTCCCATTGATAAAACTTAATGTTTACATGAAGATTTAATCAAGACTCATCTATCATCTTTGCCGAACACATAGTTCATTTGAAAAGGTCTTCCTGAATCGATCAGACGTACACACTGACAGAAATATTTGCCACTGGTCTTTATACTCAAACAGCGATTCACTTATAAATGCATTACTGAAAAAGGGGGAGGTTAATTGTTTGTTTGTGTAGTATCTGAGACTCGTTAAAATTATATTAGAAATAATATAAAAAACATTCTCCCCTCCCTTTGACAAATACTCCTTGGATAAAAAAAAATAGCACTTGATACAAACAGAAGAGATAGAAATGTAGTGATCCTTAACATAGCAATTCTTTTTCTTCGTCTGTAAGCACGCTAATGGCAATCCTACGTTTTTAATGCGTAATCGAGACATCTTTAAACTACTGCAAATCATCCAAAATGACTTTCTTAAAGGAGCAACCACTTTACTTCAAAAAAAAGGGAGAGGGGTTCTGAGTTCTCGCGCGAAAGTTTATAATTAGTTTTTTTTCGATGGTACCAATTTATATAATATTTAACATGTTTAACACTATAATGTATGGGAAAACGTTTGATTCAGAATATTTGTTCATTCTATAATTGTCTGAATGTCTCAATTTTTTTTTTAAATCTAATTGTGGAAAAATCCACCCCCCCCCCCTTTTTTAAAAGTCAAGTGGTCGTTTATTAACTGTAGAAAGATGTTCGAAAATTTGAATTCGGTTCTACGTAATGAACATTTAAATGACATATAGTTTACGAGTGTGAACAAATCTTATGTACATGTAACTAAACAAGGTGTATAGATGTGAACAAATTTAATGTGAAACTAGCGTACATTACATTAAACCAAATGTAAACATGTTTACTGTACACGACGTTTGGTGTGAACACGGCCTTAGTGAATTATTTATTTTGTGAATTTTTTTTTATATCTACTTCTACTTAGAGTCTTAGGGTGAATATATCCTTCTAGTCTGTGATTCGAACATTTAAAAAAAACGTGTCATCACAAATGACAAATCATGCAAAATGGATGAAACAATTATTTTGCTTTGAATGACTTAATTAAACTTAATATGCTTAAGTTTGTGTTATTCATTGTATTCAATTGCTCGGTATGTTAATTTTACTTACAGATAATACAGACGGTGACAGGCTCTATGGTGTATTGCTAAATAGAAAGATGAATTGTCTATTTTAAGCTTTCTATTTTTAGACATGTGTTAGAACTACAATATTACTACACACAAGAGCACTATTTATAGGGTGACCAGTGGGCACCGTTCAGCGTAACTATTATCCTTGTGCATATATCTCCCAATTGATACGATATTCCCGGGCTTGTATTTCCTATCATGATTTCCTTGAAAGAGGATTGCTGCTCACAAGGAAGCTATTAAACCAAGAGTTCCAAATGGTGAAGTTGAAATCATCCCTTCGTAAATTTTACGGACGCCATCACGAGTTGGTTGACCGTTATGGAATAACCGTTTCACAGATGATATCGGATATGTTCCTTATGTCGTAACTACAATACTCTTCCTTTTCACGAATGTGACCTACCGAATTAGACTATTTACCGGATTTGTAATAACATAAGCAACATGACGGGTGCCACATGTGGAGCAGGATCTGCTTACCCTTCCGGAGCACTTGAGATCACCCCCAGTTTTTGGTGGGGTTCTTGTTGCTTAGTCTGTAGTTTTCTATGTTGTGTCATCTGTACTATTATTTGTCTGTTTGTCATTTTATTTTTGGCCATGGCGTTGTCAGTTTGTTTTCGATCTATGAGTTTGACTGTCCCTCTGGTATCTTTCGTCCCTCTTTAATAAACATTCTGGGTAGTGGTATAACAGCACAATATCAGAACAACTATTAAAATCAGTTGGAAAAAGCTTGACTTATCAGATCATCTATAAGAACAAGTAAGAAACTTTGGAATTGCAAAACGTGCAGGGTGATTCGATGTATTTATCATATTTTCCACTTTTATATTGTTAAATACCTATATCGTGTGAAACATTTTTTCTACATTTGTACCGAACACCATTTTTATATCCATTTATAGGTACATGTATAACTTATTGAATATTTTTTCCCATCGATCAAATATGGTGTCTACCAAGACATTTGCAAATTTGGAAAAAAACGAAATGTCTTAGTCAACTCCAACACGTCGGTGTGATCCATGGAGAGTTGTCTCATTAGCACTCATACCACATCTTCTTATATCTATCCAAGTCTAATTTTGCTAATAGCTTAATTTTGCTAATGTCGTATGTTGACAGGTATACATTTACAAGGTCCCAGGACAACAATGAACTGGTTTGGAAGTTTCACCGATTTTCTCTTGTCCAAGAGTATTATGACAGGTGTCTACTGGTACCACCGCTGATAATACTTAATCACGTGAAGAGAGCTTTCTTTTTTATCTTAAATAAATGTTGCAATGTTAGTAAAACAAAGCAAGAAAATGTTTTCAGTAAGTACACATATAATTATCTTCTACATCATGGAAAATTTTAATTTAAATGATTAAAGGATATAGAATCTTTAATGTAACAATCTGCTCTATCACCCTCTCAGATATGTGTTATTTAATTTATTATACTGAATGTTCTGTCTTTAAATTTCAAATTCAAAGTAATAAACTATGTCGTCTTATACATAACAATCATCCGTATTTATTAAAGCGCACACTTGAGCAAGCGTCTCCGTGAAGGGTAATAGAGTAAATTGTCTCCCTCGTATTAACCAATCAAAATCTGGCATTTTGACCAATATATAATGAAAACAAATAAGACATGATTGTCAATGATTCAATTATCTACAAAAGACTAAAGAAAAAGGATGTAAACTACTTAAGCAGTGATTGCTAACAATAAAAAACCCCATACATATAGTATTTTAACAAAGGCTCTGATCAAAACTGAAAACAAACGGCCCACGGCTGATAACAACATACGATAAACACTGAAGTAAATACACTTATAGAATGTGTCGTGTTTGACAAAAATGAACACATCTCTAAGATAATCATAATATAGTGACGTTTTTTAAATATATGTGATAATGCTAATAACCAATTTCCATCTTTGGAAGGAATAGACATGAAACCTAAAGACATGAAAAAAATCGATTTGTTGGAGAAAGATGCAGTGAACAGTTATTCAAATGCATCAGTTTCATTACGAAAATACAGAGCCAGAGCTATATCTAGTGACGACGGAAGGTAATAATTTATTCAGTGAATAAAGAAATGGAACATTATTAATCTAAAATTTCTCATATTAAAATGTTTCTTTAATTATAAATATCAACAGATTTTTGCAGAATATATGCTTTTTCTACTTTTTATTTCACATTAAAACAATATAACTACATTTGATTTTATTTCAGATCGGAATTTTATTGATGTTAATGACTGTCAAATTCATCAGTGAAACTTTCCAATTGTAAACTTTTTAATTATCAGCAGTAACAATTTATCATTACGGATGCGACCGAAACCAGAAGGTCTGTCTATATCGTGATATTTTCCCCGATATTGACACTAATGGACGAATTCAAACTTAAATCTATGACAAGTGTGATGATTTCAACTTTCGAATTGTAAACTTCCTGAGGTTACTTATCAGCAGTAATATACCCTCTAGCCAATCATATGACGATTAAAAAGTTACGCTCGTGGATGTTCACACTACATGGATTTCATTGCCAGGGGGTGTTTTTACACAAAAACCACCAAAATAAATTTACGAGGAAGAACGACTTAAATCGACTCAACATAAGTTTTGCGGTCACCATCACGAATTGGTTTACCGATACGATGTATCTCTGTCTCAAATCACTAGAGACATGTTTTCGCAGTCATAGATCTTTAAATACTATTTCTTTAATTTAACCGATCATGTCCTATTCCCGAATGTGATATTTAGACTGAGTGTGGATTCGTATGGCGGTTGATAATGCATAGCAGGAGACGCTTATTTGGAGTTCTTGTGATCCCCTCAGTTTTTGTTTGTTGTCTTGATTTCTATCTTCCTTATCGATTTATGAAACTTGAACATTGGTTAACTACTGGTGCCTAAATTTATAACGTAGTCCACCAGACGCGCATTTTGTCTACATAAGACCGTGTATTTGCGCTCGAAATAAAACAGTTGGAGAAACTTATTAAAAAACGAACTTGAAAAGTAGTGAAAACTCAGTATGCAAATTTTATGGAGATCTATCACTAGGCGCTTGATAAAAAGGCAACAGTAGAATACCGCTGTTCGAAACTCATAAATCGATAGAGATAAAAACAAATCCGGGTTACAAACTAAAACTGAGGGAAGTGCATCAAATATAAGAGGAGAACAACAACACAACAAAAACACAACATTAAAATGTAAAACACACAGAAACGAACTATAATATAACAATGGCCATTTTCCTGACTTGGTAGAGGACATTTTAAGGAAAAAATGGTGGGTTGAACCTGGTTTTGTGGCATGCAAAAAAAACGAAGAGCAAGTTTATGTTTTGACCGCATTGAAAATTGTGTGACTTAATAATACAAGAAAAAATATTACTATACAATGGGTCAGTATACACTAAATCAAGTTAAAATTCCTGTCAACGTATAGTCATATGCATTGCTTATAACTTCAAGTCCTACAAAAAATAAAGATCAACAGGAGAATTCGGGTTAAGTTGTTGTTTCACGTTTGAGGTTGAAAAATGTCTATCACTTTACATTTTGCTCTCAATCCCCCTAGTTTTTCATGTAGGGGAAATAAGCTGATCAATTAAAATGTCGACCAGACTTTTCTACTTTGACCCCTTAACTCAGATGACAACATATCGTAAAGTGACATTTCAAATACATAGATGTTTTGATGCAGATGACCTTGTATTGATCCAAACACTGCATAGACTTCTGACGGTATCGCGTGACTTTTGTGTGTAAAATCAAATCGGACACAGGAAAACTGATTATCTCGGAACTAAAGTATTATTTTTCATATATCTCAAGATGAAATTTATCTTAGAATACAAAGTATTGGCTGTAATATTATTAGCGGTACCAATCAAACTTAAACAGATTATCATTTTAATAATTTAGTGTGCTGTGTCTTCGATATACTCGAGGCCAAGATAAATTGTTTTATTATTATTTGTAAAGTTGCCAAAAAAGTAAAATTATAAAGTTAAAGATTTTTTGCGTCTGAAGTATCTTTCTACATTTACCTACACCAAGCCATTTCAAAATCACAAATCTAAAGCCGGGGGTGTATACATTCTATAAATATGTGGACAAAAGGGACATAAAATGACGAAACAATCTTATGTCAACTTTGCCAAAGAGCACTTCATCTTGTGTTTCTTGAAACCTGTTCTAATTTATCAACGAAATTTTTTTTTTATAATCATGTCAATGTGCGGAACAACGGCTACTTAAATAATAATAGCCTCCCTGAAGCGGTATCGACCCAGCGGTTGAAAATTTAATCGACACTTAATAAATGTAATATGTTTCTTAAACGCTTTTCCTGATCTACGTTCATTAGAAACGCCCAAAACAAATAACTTGAAAGCCGGGGATGTATGAATACTTGAGAATCTATATGGACGAAAGTGGTCAGTGCTTGTTTTATAATTGCATATATTATGCAAATATAGTTTGTTCCATTTACTTTTCATTACAGCTATTATCATGACGCAGAACATAGTTTACATGAGCAAGTCGAAAAAGTGACAAATGAAGTTGGAAAGCTTCACAATTTCTTGGAAGAGATGAAACAGGACATTAAAGACATTAAATCATATAAACAGAGAGTATTACTAGTTGAACTTCCTAAAGGTATTCCTAGTGGAACACATATTCCAGAAGAGGTCCCAATGTTTCAAAAAACGTCATGAGCAGTTACATTATTCGATTCTCACTTTGTCATAGTACGTAAAAGTTTTACTTAATGCACAGTAAAGATCTACAATCTGCATTGATTTTAGTCCGCTTATCATATACAGAATGGTTATATAGATTAGTTGTGCTCATTTATAAGTTTGCGTTTTGATTTATTTCAGTGTGTTATTAACTCACTTTTATTTCTTGCACTGTGAATATCTGCATGCTTGACAAATGCATTGTACTAAGCATCTACAATGACGTTTCACTTATTCTTATTAGTTTTTATGGCTAATTTGAATGTACTAACATAATGTAATAGTCTGATTTTTAAAAAAAGGTAGATTTTTTGGTAGTATTGTTTTCACAAAATGTTTATAGTTGGTTATTTTAAGATTAAAAGGATTAATAATAGATTA